GTGAATATATGCTCCCTAAGAAAGTGGCTTCTAAGTGTACTGCAGCAATCTACCTTGTCAGGCTGGACATATGGTGCTTTCTTTTTTTCCTCCTGTAAGAAAATAAGGGGGATGATCTGGATAAGACCAGTATTACTAAGGCTCACAGCTTACTGTTTTCTCCATTGTTATCTGGATGGTACAAAGGCTTTCTTTAAGATAGACTTAACTCAGATAATGTCATAGGGAGATTACTGCCCACAACTCACCCTCCTTCCCTGAATCCTCCTCTGCTGCATCATTGAGTGCTTATTCATGGTTGTGCTGTTAAAACAGCAGCTCAAGCATGCACAGGATGAAATTCCACCTTGTGTTAGTTCTTCCACTTTGATCTACTGAAGTGGCATGTTATTTCTGCAACTTTAATCAAGTGTGATGAACTGTAAAGTAATGGCTAAAGTTATGGTATACATTCTGTACAACAGTGAACATTTCTTCCACATTCTTGCATTTGCCTCTGAAATCATGCACAGTATGATTAAAACAAGGATGCAAATGTATGGACAAAAAGTCTTTCATTGGTATATACATCACATCTCATTAGCTTCAGTATAAGCTATTAGACACTTCTTAAATATGTATGCAGGACAAATGGATTTTTCCATCCCCCTCCTACATCACATTTCACAGTCAGGGCATTATGTGCAGTAGAACCATGGAAGCTGAGCTATGGCTGTCATTTGCTGAGATACTGCAAAAATGCATTGCTGACATAAGTAGATGAAACTGTTTACCAGAGTAGGAGCTGCATACACTCAGCACTGCTAAAATCCAGCCGTTTAGGTAGTATGGAGTTATGTGCCCAATTTTGCTTTAAATATTGTTCCCAAAAGAAATTCCAAAAATCAAAGTCTAGTAAGAATGTTGAAACATAAATTAGCTCATCATCCACAAATCCAAACAATCTTTTCACAGTGTGCACCACACGTGAGTGCACACTTGTACTTAACTAAATCCCCTTGCTATCACTGGTGAAATAATTTATTTTGAAAGAATGAGTGATGTGTGAGAGGATAGACTGCTGAAACTTTTTCAGAGATTCAGAATATTGAGTAGGATGTAAAATGATGATTGGCTCTGCATATCCCACTGAAGCAGGAAAACACTTAAAAACACATACTTTAGCTTCTTTAGGACAGCAGTTCTCTGCTACCAAAGCTATAACCAACAACATGGAAAATGTCAGGTTCTCATGCGGCACCTGATCCAAAATTGCCCAAAGACAGGGAAATCAGTTCACCTTTGAAACCCAGAAGAGGTTACAGGCAAAAGATGTATATGTGCAGAATATATAGGCAGTTCTACTCAGCTATAACCTTATCCTCAGATATGGCTGATAAATTAATCCAGGAAAAAAAAAAAAGGGGGGGGGGGGAAGAGCAACTTTGTAGTTGAATAAACCACTTTCAGTTTACAGGCAGCCAAAGAAATGCTGGCTAACAATAATTTAGAAGTTATAATAAATTTTATATTGCCTTTAACTATTATGCCATTTACTAAAAAATGCTTTGTGGAAAACAAATCAGAACACATTACAGCAACTTTATGACAAGTGAAGAGGTTTTTGGATTAAACTAAACAGATCTAATAATTTGATATAAATTTTATATTAAAAAGGTCTTTTATCTCTATGTAGCCTATCATATGAAAAAAAGCATCTCTTGTATAGGTAGAAGTAATTCACTATGAATATGTTTGGTAATTGCTCACAATGTATCTGAGGCAATTTAGGGAAGCACTTCTGCTAGAGAGCCAACAAAATTACAAGATTTAAATGGAAGTCTGTATTGCTAATACAGCAGTGTTTGGGGATATTTGAATTAGGTTAATTTATACAATTGCTAGTACTAATATTATTAACAATAATCTTGTTTGTGGTAGTTTATGATCGAACTGAATTTTCACTTGTCCCCTATTTTTTCCATGTTATCCTTTATATATATATATATGAAATATTTATGTAGGAGTTTAAAAGACACTTACTGCATCTATAATTAAACAACCTACTGAATATATAAATGCTCTACAGCGTGCAAATCTCTAAAAGAAAATTCATTATGTTTGCATTCTCTGTTTGATTCTTAATAATTCAACTTCCCTACCATTTACTCCTCGAACCAGCTGAGAAGTTAGTCACTTTAAACTCTATTTGAAAGAATGACTGCATTCAAAAAATGGAATTTAGTCAAATAAAATAAAGTTATTATTGATAATTTGTTCAGAGAGGAATGTCTCAGAGAGCAGCACTTTCCTAGGTCCTGTAAAATTAAAAGGAACACAATAAGAGTGCTATAATGGCCAGATAAACTGGGATTTATTTGCTTTGTAATATGTACATCAAGAAAGAAGTAGAAAGAAAATTTCTCCAGCTTGATCTCTGCAACTTGACAGGGTTTTGACTATTCTTGCCCTTAAAAGAACAGCTACATTAGAAGCCCTTCAAGAAGGGAACTGTCAGGAGCAGATAAGATGGATTTATGACAAAGCATTCTCTAGTTGCATAAACCATTACACATCACCAGCACACCCCTCCACATGTGCAAAAAAGTGACTTCAGTAATACATGAAACAGATCATTCAACTGGTTTTCAGTAGTAACGTTATTTAGCTGCTAATGAATTTGAAGGGTTCACAGAATAAAATACCATTCTCTGATTTCTGTGCACCATAAGCATAAAGAATAGCAAGAAAGAGAGTGAAAAGTACTGCATGGGAACAGGTGTAGAAGTAAAATCAGGTTTTTTTTTCTATCTTATCTAAAAAGCTACAGATTGAGCTACATCACGTGCCCAAGCTCAGTCATGATGTGTAGTATGCATCTGTATTACTTTCACATACATCTTTTATCCTACCAATTTTGTTAAAGAGTTGGCCTCCTACTTACAGGACACTCGCGTATGTTTATTTCCAACGTACTACGTGTGCTTCTAACCTGGCTTTTGGGTTTCAGTAAGGGCATCTGCTGTGGCAGAAACATTTCATGATCATCCAAAAGCCAAGGTCTCTTTTTATAACGGATGCCTTGTATCCTCCATCTTAAGAGATTACACTAGGAGCAGGGCTTGCTGTAAACCCCAACAGATTGCATAAACATCTGATTCCAGTAAACTTATTTCACTCCTGTATCCCAGTTCTTGTGCTAAGATACCACAAACTTCCTTTACAGTGACTTTGTTGGAAGGGAAAACTGTGTTCCCAGAGAATAGAAGCTATTTTATTTGATGCTTAAAAAGTGAACTAGAGAAGGCACTCAACATTACTCATAAAACTTAGTCTACATAGAGTCCAACTGGATAACCTGCTAAGCCCTCCCCATCCCTCTTATGGGCCACGAGAAGTAAAGCAGGATGTGCAAGCCACATGCTCTCTAAATTAAGAGCATGTGGAAAAGCTCTGCATACACGAGACAGTCTGGGAGATCTTTGCTCCGGTAGATACTCTCAAAGCTTCTTGACTCATAAATAAGGAAAAAAGAAACACAAGTTGTGCATTTACATCACATACCTACACGCCTCCAAGCAAAGCTTAAGGGCAAGTGCTTTCATTTCAGTCAGCCTATAAGGGAAGCTTATTCCTTTGTGGTTATGTTTCCTGAGGCTGGTTTTGTACAATGGTGCCTTTTGAATTTTAAGGAATAGGTTATGATAGAAAAGTTTCCTAAAGGTTTATTTACAATGAAATAAAAAGGGCAGTTGAGTATGAGCAGTCTTGTTCTAGGTAGCAATTTTTAAACTGTAACGTGAGGCCATAAAGCAAAGATACAATGAGATACTGCTATGAGCCAGGCAGCTCTAATACGCTGCTTCAGGTTACCTGGAGGCTGAAAGCAGATCTGGTAAATTATATATTGCTACCTAAAGTATTAGGCTAGGGAAATCAGGCCCTACCCAGTCTGGTTATGAATACACTCTGAAATAACTTTGGATTCCTAGAGGCAAGCCTCATTTGAGCTTTCAGAATATCTAGAGAAGATATGCAGCAGTACACAAAGTTGTTACTTACACTTAAACTGGTCTGTGCTTCAAGGAACATCTTCACAGGTGATACTTGTCTCTTTATAATATTCCCTTTCACATTTACTTGCTCTAATCACCAGCCCTTTACCTTTTATTTTATTAAAGGCACTCTCTGAATAAATGCAGCAAGTGATAAAAAGAATCTTCTCACTGCCCTCTTTCCCAATGCTTTTGAACCTCTTCAAGAGCCTCATGTGAAAAAAGATTCTAAAGGGAAGTGAAACATGCTTGTATAACTGACGAGGACAAGCTTTGCAGTTCACGGTTATATTTCAATTACAGGTCTATTAACTGCTCTACTACTTCAGGAGGGTAAACCTCAGTTAAACTAAAAACAGAACTTCTGCTTTGGTTTTCCTATTTCTCAGTCCCCCATTTTACTTTATGGGGTTTGCATAGAAGAGTTGCATGATAGCACTTCACATGATAAGAAAACAGTTAACTCCAGTTTCCAAAATCTATGTTTAAAGACCAACACTGGAATCACTGAGTATCACATGCCATGTACTAGATGGATGAGAGGGGATATCATTAAAAAACAGGACTGTTAATGACAGGCACTAAAAAACAGCTTTAGCTGTACTTATAAAACGGTGAACCTGCAAGCTGCATTTCTTAAAAGTGAAAGGAAATTAGCCAGTTTATCAAATTCAAAATGCAAGCCTGCCTACAGAAATTAGAGGATAACCAGAGGCTGTTAAAAGTGACAGTTACTGTTCCTAACCATCCTTCAAGTGGGCACGCTGTGTTTTCTTTAGAGAATAAACGCAATTATTTTTTGCCCCTAGTATTAACTGAAGAGATTGGATTTCTCATCTGCAAGATATTAGCCCTAAATAAAATTTGAACGTACCCTTCTGGCAGGCTACTAGCTCTAGAAACAAAAGGAAACATTGGAAGATTTTAGGAGGTGCTGAAACATTTGTTTTGAAGTTTTATTACAAAAATATATTTGCAAACATACAAAATTTTGGATGAAAAATGCTCATTCTTAAACATTTATGCAATAACTTAATATTTGCAAACATACATAGGTGCTATAAAATCTATACCATACCAAAAACGTTAATGATGCAGTATCTACATTTATTGACCTAAAATTATTCTCATTTCAGATTTCCAGACAATTTTCCTGAAGCTTCCCCTCCCTATGGTCTTCATATTTAAAGAACATGCAAATGGGTAATAATTTGTGCATCCACAAAACTGGTAAAACTCAGACATCGCTAAAAACACATAATATACTTCAAAAAAAGCAACAAAAAACAATAACACACACATAAAAACCTAACCATGTGCCCATACACTGAACAGATAAAAAAAATAAATAGACCAAATTAAAGATACTGCAATTCTTCTAACTTGAAGTGAAAGGGAGATATTGCATCTTAACATTCTTGTAACGATGTCAGACAAAACTGAGGTGAAATATATTGCACACATTCCTCCTGTTAAGATATGCTTATGCAACCCAAATAGCTGGCAAAAAGGGGGCTGATTTGTTTAGCACACTTTTTAAAAGAAGTCCCAAATTAAAGTCTGTTTCTGATAGTTTTTCAGGAATTACATCAGTGACTATGCATAGCATAAGGGTTTTCAGAAATATACCAAAATGAAGCAATTAGAAATGCAAGTAAAATTGAGATACATTCAGCAGCAAGTGTTTAAATATTGAGTAGGTATACACAGACTGTTAAGCATTTACTTTTTGTGAAATTAAGACGAATCACTTTCTTAAATTTCACTCAATCGTTCTGCAAATCTTGTTTAATTTGAAAAGATATACTGCTTCTAAATTAATAGCTGTTAGGCACCTTTCATATAAACTTTGCATTATTAAATAACATCAGATAATTTCTAACTACAAAACTGAAAATCTTGATTTTCCTGAACAAATCAGCAGCTATAGGTTTTAAAACTGTCTTTGATTAAATCTAAATTTTTACTTTCATTTTCTATTTTTTGTTTAAAGTGACTTAACACTGGCCACAATACACATGCTTAGATAATACAATTCATTTTGGGAATATAGTATGAACCAATCTTTTCGTTCTCAGAAATAATGGGTAAAATCTCATTAAGCCAGCAGTTTTACTGAAATAAAAATCATTTGAAAACGGTCACAAGAAGTTGCTGTGATGACGCACGGTAACTTGCTATGCATTAGTGATCACTACATGCAGCTAACACAAATCAAGCACTGAGACAAGCTGATAATTTTAGATTTATACAGAAAGTTAAAATGATTAGGAAAAAAAAGTTGCCAAACAACACATTCTACATTTAAGCTCAAGTTTTACACTGCAGTTGAACTTGTGTTTTACAATGCAATTCTTAATTAAAGAGGTTTATCTGGCACTTGTCATATACTGCAGACTAACTCTCCAGTGTGTTATTACAGGACACCTCTGTTCTTTCCAGTGTCTATTGGCTACATATATGGAAGTCAGAATAAACATGTAGGCATTCAAGATGAATGGGTTTGTTTGTAGTAAGAATGCCTGCCTAGTAACTATTATTTCACTCTGCATCTATTTGAATTTATTCTGAAAGCTAGAAAAAATTTAAACTCACAATGTATTGCTATTAGCACACTACAAAAACAAAGCAAAGTAAGGATCTGCCAGCTGCTCATGGAGGTTCCTGGACAGTTGGAAACAAATAAATGCAAGATATTCAGAGCAGAGTTAAACTCTCATAATAGCATGACTACTTCAAACAGTATTATTTTTTATCAATTGTATATGAGTTAGGAACTCAAACTACAACCCCTTCCTATCACTTGTACGGATCTTTGGATACGACATTAAGAATGAGACTATTTAGCAAACAGTACAAATATTTGCTATCAGCTTCCAATATTTCTATTCTTGGAAACTTATATCAAATCTTCCTTTGAAGAAACTGAAAACTATTCGTAAAAAGCAAGAAATTATGGACTTAGTCTTTGCTAAATCCAGAGGAAAAAACAACTCTATATTTGGTTTAGGCTATCAATCCCACCCCCCCATAGGAACTGCTCACTTGTTTGTCCTCTTTTCCTTACTAAGTTTTTCACACACAAAAAGAAAGTGTAGACCTTAAACCTAAATTGAATTTCACTGTTTATGCATACACACAGAAGTACATCGCTAGAATTTATGTAGGAAGCTCCTATCTTCCTTAACAAGGCTCACACAGTATATATTGCTGAATTCAAATGCTACTATTAAAGCCAATATATTTCTTGGTAGATGTGCATTACATTAGCATCTTTCCCTGAATTTTGCACATTTTTCTAACAAAATACTATGTATTTTAACTTGAAACATTGAACTCAAGGGCTGAGAAGAGCTTTACAGAAGGCAGGTAGTGCTAAACAAAATATATTTTCCACTAAAAAGCTATGAAAAAAACTAAAATAGATCAAATACATAAAACAAACATTTGATACAGCTAAAACATATTGATTTGTGAACAAGTCACAATTAAAGCTTAATTACTAGTTTCCAATGAAATGGCTGTGCACCTTGACTATGTCAACATTAACTAATCCTTAGGATATACATAAATATTTTTTTTGCCAGGAGCCAAACAACTTTTTTCTTCATATTTCAATAGTGCTGAGGGTGGGGGGAAGCAGTGCATCATAACTTACTATAAATTATCTTTTCACTCAATAAGCCAAAACTTTGCTACTGGAAAAGCATCCTTTAAAACGACTATTGCTGGAAAAATTGAGACCTACATTAAAGTCTTATTCACTCCTTCGCATGCCACAGAGAAGTGGGTAAACCAACACAGCAGCACAGGAAAATATCATTAGAAATGTTTTGATTTCAAACAGGAAAGTATGAGGTTAAATTCTTACATTAGCGAATAGTGAATTACTAAATCACATATAAGAAACTGTAGCATTTTAATTAGATAAAATTCACACTATGAAGTATGAAGAAGCAATTTGGGGAGAGGGCAACAAAAGAGCATGCATTTGTTCCCCATCTGCATAGTTTTCAACACTGCAGTTCAAATATAAATGAGGAATGAAACCCAACTATAACACTGGTCCATCCTTAAGCTAAAGGGAAACAAAATATTTCAATTATTATATTGAACATCACTGAACAAGAAGATGGGCTTCCAGAGGTCTTCCAACTATAAAGGCAAAACAAAAGAACTTCAGCATTCAACAAAATTACACTGCTGCTTAAAGATGATACAATCACACTGAGGATTTTGCATATTTCAAATTCTCCCTTTTTAGATAAAACGGCCTTACTCACTTGGATAGCTGTTCAATGTCAGAAATGCAGAAACAAGTAAAGTTAAAGGAGTATTTAAAAGAAATTCACGTGCATTAGCTAAAGACTGTTTACTGATCACATACTGAGCCAAATCATATTTTTAATCCCTGTGTTAAAAATCTAGCTCCAAAAGCCTGATTTCCAAAACTCTCTTCCCCACACCTGCCAACTTAATCACAAGACATTACCCTCTCCTACTTTCGCTTAGTCCTTAAAACCAGGCCTAGGTTCACACAACTGAATTTTGTTTTTCTGGTGTGGTGTAGTGTACTGTATTATGTATTTGCTGGTTTAAGTAGTATTGATTCTGTAACTCTTGAAAAGCAAAGACAGCTTGGAATGAAAGCCAGAGCAAACATTTGCACTTTCACTTAATGCTAATGAGAGCTCATACATAACTTAACTCCCCTCCCCAATAAAAACAAAGGTTTGCTGGTGATGATCACAGTGGAAACCTAGATCACTTCTGAGAACATTACTTTCATAAGTATTTAAGGAATAGTCTTTCCTAACAGGTTCAAATTCAAGACGTTGAAAACTAAATATTCTTTTAAAAAAATATTAGTTTTATATATGAGGCATAATTGTTTCTAAAGTGGACATATTCCAAGTAGATTTAACTTCGATTATAGCTTGATGTTGTCTGTATTCTTAGTTAGGACTTGCAAGTAGACTTCATGAATAGTGCTGAGAAAACGGGAATCATTCTGCAGGAAAAGAAAAAAACAAAACAGAAACATTAGTTAAAAAACGTATAATTTAATTCTATTTAAGTTGTGCATAAGAAGTCCTAATACAGCGTCTAACATCTAAGGGTTAAGACAAGGGAACTAGCCACCTAGCTGCCCAAAATCCTTAACATGAAGCTGCTTGTCAGTCATTACAATTTCATGACATGACATCAGAGGTCAAAATGATCATATGGATACTTCCAAACCTATGAATCTAGTTCAGCTGAACTTTCTAGCCACTAGAATTCTTGCAGTTTCCATTTCAAAGACAAACACTTCAGTTAAAGATCATTTGAAAACAACAGTTACTTTCAACTTAAGCAGCAGGAACAGTTACAAAAGAAACAACAAAACAATACCCTCCTCCTCACATGCCACCCAATATCAGGGCCTTCTACTAACGTAACTTTTTCTTCAGATGCCCACAAATTTACATGGATGTAAAAGAACATGTGATGTGGAACTCTGTCCTTCCAAGCCCTCTGTCTCATAACCAAAAGACTTAAAACAGAAGTAAGCCACGCCATACGCCATACTACACTGATGGCATGGAATAATCTACACCTTCCAAAAGAAAGGACCGATTTTTGTAATGTTTCAAGCCAAAAGGAGTTATAAGGATACAGCATCTCTCAGTACTGTCTGCTGTACTTTGAAACCCATCCCTCAGATACTGAGTTCTGAAAAGACAGGACCTTTATTAGATGTATGAGCGCTTCCTGAAGCTGAGACCTACTGAGAACAGTAGGAGGTATAGTCTGAATTTCTGTTGTTGCAAGTGTTAAAGGAGAAGAAGAATGGGCTTTGTTCTCCACTTCAGTAGTTTTTGTAGCAGACTGCTGAAAAACACTAGGAGACAAGAGGATTGAAGGAGTTACTGTAGTCGTGGTTGTAACAAACTGCGGAGGTACAACCTGTAAAAAACAAGAGACTAGTAAACACTGTGTCCAGTGAGAATGAATGCAGGTACAAAAGGCTGGAGAAATGAGTGTTTAAAGGAAAAAAAAGTGTAGCCAGTATTACAGTAAGTCAGCTAGATATTAAAGAAATAATTGCATATACTGAAGAAATATCTACCTATAAAAATTAACATCAACAATAATTCACATGTTAAGAGCTGAAGAAGGTAACAGCCTATAATATTTTTGTACGCAGATTCATTCTTCTCCATGTCATTGCTACCCTCCAGAATTTGATACATACCACATAGAATAAGAGATGAGCTTTTCCCCCAGGGGTAACGAAATGAGCCTATGGCTGTTTTCTTTTTTTTTTTTCTCTTAGCAGCTTACAGAAAGGGGAGTCAGACTTCTATTTTTCACTTCTCCACTCTCCCCTGCCCCTCCACCACATTTTTAATTTGAATTAAAGTATCTCAGTGCTTCAAAGATATTTAAAGTGACTGATGAATTGTAATGAAAGTATTGGGGTACTCTGAAATATTTCTACTAATAAGTTTTTCCCTTTTTTTTTTTTGAGGAATATTCTGAAGACCATCTTTCTGCTTTGGTCCTCTGCAGGTCTGTGCCCATTTCTTTACAGAAATCCACACCCTGCCATTAATACCTTTCCTTTTAAGCATAAGGTCCAAACATATAGAACGCTGTTTTTGCATAAAATGGAAGTGAAAGAGAGACATCAGCTTTGAGCAACTCTAAGATCTCCAGATAACTGTAATTATTCAATATGATAATGGTACATCTTGCTCATTCCACAATAACCAACATGGAGAAGGGAGGGCAGTGGAAAAAACAAACAGAAGAACCTCACTCAGGAGAAAGTGAAGTAAATACTGTGTTTGATATATCAGCCGAAAAAGTTTCCCTTGGAAAATTAAAAATCTTCAGAAGACAAACAAACAAATTGCCAAGTCAGCTGAAGTTAACACAACACAGTAACATCAACAATAGTAGAACTGGCAAATTGAACTTATTCTAATCAAAACTGTGTATCCTTCTTCAAAGGAGGAGGTAGGTAAAGGGAAAGTAGAACTAAAGTACATAAAAAAAAAAATTCAAGACTTGACTATTATCGATTATTTAAAATTTTGGTTGTAATTTAACATTCACCTTATTTTGATCTGTTATTCATGGGAAGTTGTAATAATGTTAAATTTTATCTAGATCCCTAGAAATAGCTACTAGAAGGTTTTGCAGTAACAAAAGCTCTTGTTATCGTTTTCTTGCTCTACCCTTTGCATTATTAATTTGGTCTCTTTTCCACAAAATATAAGGTCTCTCAAAAAAAACCAGAATGACATAGCAAGTTAAATATTGCACTTTATGCCTCTAGGGTGCTTAAGGTACTAGCTGGGCCAAAGCTATTAGACCCTACTACAGTATTATAGCATTATTACTGCTTATTTACCAGATAAAAAACACAATTCAAGTGGTGCTAACTCAATACAAGATTGTAGATCCAAAACATAATCTCATTTCTGCATTACTATCTACAGTAAGTTACTGTACAACACAAAAGAGTTTACTCATTCATAGTTGTCTACAGAAATTTTTTCCCCTCAGTAAAGCTTGTTTCTATACCATAACAGCAATTTAAATGTGATCAGAGGTGACAGTACAGCTATTTGAGATGCCAGCTGATTACTACAGTTTTGAAACAAAAACAGAACAAAAAAAAAAAAAAAAGGAGCGATCTCCCATCCTCTCCCAATCCTCCAAAATTTGCCAAAACATTTATTCACTTACCTGACTTGCTTTAGGTAAACTCTTCGGCTGTGAAAACGGTTCTGATTCCTTGTTTTGTTGTGCAGTCTAAGTTAAAAAGAAAACATCAGTCATAAGTTTGCATGCACATTTTCAGTGGCAGTATCTGTTTTTATAAAAGTGCAAAAATGCAAGTTATCAACAGATGTTTAGCTGTAGTTTGTTCCATTTTGTCAAACTGATGCAATCCACAGGAAGGTGGAAAAGAAGAAGGATTTGAAGTGTTTTATGTTTCCAATACTACAGGAAACCCATAAAACAATAGCAAAACAATTCTGGAGACTATATAGGAGACTATTATAGTTAAAATGAGAATAAAACAAGTGCTACAAAATAAAGATTCCGGTACCTTATAATAAACTTGGTAAACATGGGAAAAGTACATTTACTAATTTTTCCTATAAGTTTATCTAATCATCTCTATTGAAATTAGATACTCTGGTCTTGCTAGAATTTTATATATATTTTATATTATGAACACCATCCAGATACCAAAGGTCAGATTTTAAGATTATATTATATTTTTAGGATTATAAAATAATAGAAAGCAAAACACACACAGAGAAGGGACTTTAATAAACTCCTCTGGCATTCTTGGAAAGGCTTATTATATAGCCTTTCAGCATACCTCTTGGCAGCAAGGTCAGAGGTTTTAAGCGATAACCTCCACAACAGACAATACTTAGTTTACCTGAACTGCAGTGAAAAAAATTCCACAAGGAACTGATCACTCCCAGTGACAGAAATCAAATAAGTTTTATGAAATGAAACAATGACAAGATCAAATCCTTAAGACATAGTTACATAGGAGTTGGGAGGTCTTTTGCTAGTGAGCGAGAACATATTTGGACTAAGGAGAGTTTCGTGTAAAGAAAATATGCACACACACTGGACCCCCAAAAGGGTATAAGACTGGCTTATAATGAAATAATTTTCAATGTTATCAAGCAGATTCAGTCAAGGGCAGTTCTGGATTAAACCCAGTCAGCTTTTCTAAAAGCTCAAGGATGTCGCTATCTTCAGTGTCAAATCTGTACCAACATTTAGCAGTACAAGGAAGAACAATACTGCTCAGAACGTGAAATACTTAAACAGTAGGTGAAGACGGCTGCCTCAGTGCTGTATTTTGGATAACCTTAGATGTGGACTATAGAGAAAGTTACTTCCTCTGAAGAAGAAAAAAATATATAGAATATATATAAAATATACATCTTCATCTAGCAGCCTAAACCCATGAGTACCTTTACTAGACAGGGACCCAGCAATACAACAGAGCACCATCAATTGATGGAAAATAACTTACAACACAGAGTCACACACAGTAACCTTACAGAGTAGCACGGACATTTTCAGCTAGCCTCTCAAAACAAGTTTATTGCTTTAGCTTATATTAATGGATATAAGCTTTCTGTTTCTTTGAGGAGATTCTAAAAGGTGCTTTGAAAGTGAGACCAGGATAAAAAAAAATCAAGGTGGCTGACTAGACAAGATAAATCAGTTTATGATCCATTTTACTGAAGAATTAACATATCTCAACGTAGCTCACACCTATCCCCAACAGAAGGGGTCAGTACTGAAGCAGTATGAAACATGCAAAGCAAGGTAACTGAAAACACGAAAGCCTTAATTCAGTACCTTCAGAGAACACTGACTAGACCTCAACAACGTCAACTCTTGTAACACCGATCAGTCTGCAGTCTTCAGTCACTTCTCAGCTCATCAGTCTTTATTAATAGAGTTTTTAATGACGCTAGCACTGGTGAATTCCTTATGATATACTCATCCACTAACAGCAGCAGCTTGAAAACCTTTCCTCTACAGACAGATCTGTCACTCATAACAAATGCTAGTGACAGAAGTCCAAATTCATTAGATTTTTAACTTAATTCAGTCAACATATCACACATTACAAGTCCTTAGTTATTTTTAAAAAGCTAATATATAAAAACCACGTTATTAAGGGAAAATATTCGTAGCCTAAAAACACTTTAAAGCAATATAAACATACAGAAATCCACAGAATACCTGAAGTGGAGAGATTATCTTGCTGTTCAAGGTTGATGGTTTACTGTGTGATTCTTTGAAGCTTTCTGGTGTTGCAAGTTGGCCAACCGAGGCAGAGGTGTTTGGTGTTAAGGAAGTCTTAGTGAGAGCCTGCTGTTGCATTTGGTCATGTTGTGGGGTCAACCTGAGTTTCTGAAGAAGATCAACACTTGTATGGGATGTATTTGAGACAGTTCCTGCATTTGTTGATGTCAAGGGTGGTACAAACTGGCTTTGGCCAGCCATTAGATTTTGTGGCGCGTGGTTCACCTCAGATGGCAGCTGATTCACTAGTGGGGATATCTGCTTGGCAGCTTGCTGCATAACTTGCATTATGCTGTTGTTTTGTTTTAGGCCAGGAAGCATCTGAGCAGGGGCAGCTTCCATTGTCGAGGCTGAATTAAGAACAGGGCTTAAATGAACTGAATAATTTGAAATGTTTTTTACATCAGACTGGGAAACTGAAGCTGGAGGTAAAAAAACCTGCTGATTCAGAGCACTGGTACTGGTTTTAACCCCGGGACTTTCTGATTTCCCTAATGGTTGATGTATTACTGTTGACTGGTCAAAGGAAAAAGGCAAGAGCAAATTGCGCTGCTCTCTGGCAGAGGTGTCAGGCTGCGACGTCTCCATCCGCTCTGGAGTGGGATACGGAACTGCTGCTTGTTCCTTTGGTACAGAAGTTCCAAACAATTCTTCCAAAGTCAGATGCTTTTGCCTTGACTGAAATGGCTAAAAAGAAGGGAAAAAGGAGTTTGCAGAGTCAGTACAGAAATATCCTATACCTTTGTGCCTCTCACATAGCCTATTACAGCTTTCAAAACTAACAAGCTGTTTTTTTGGTTTTGTTTGTTTATATTAAGCAGTAAAATGCAGTTTGGATATCAAGAGTGTCCTGTTTCCAGGAATTTTTAACCTTATTTCATTTACAAGAAACACTCTGTCTATAGAGACTAATTACACAAAAAAAAAAATAATGAGGATTTAGGAAATCGGGCATCACAGTATAGCACATGCTGAACGACGCACTGACGTTCAGTTATGGAGCGCCACTGAAGATCTGTAGGTAGGCAATTTCAGAGGTTTCAGGAAGGGTAATTTTAGAAAGCCTTGGCTATTGGGGAAACTTTTTTGAACTTCACTTGGCAAGCACAGAAAAGTTATTTTGCTGAAAACGTAACCAAATGTTCAGCTGAAGTAAAGTTGATTTTGTCACTGAATTCTGTACTCACATTAACGGCATCTATTGAGCCAAAAAAACCCCTATTTTTTCCAACAATGTGCTAAAATATTTTTACATATAAAACAGTCATGGAGGAAGTAAAAGACCAGCACTTAGAGCAATTTACTCAGCTTCAATATTGTAATTTACAGTGCCTGGTTAGTCATTTGACTAATATCAGTGACTCAGTTAAAGTGCAAAGATGAACTACATCATAAATACAAGACGTATCTAAATAGAGCTATTTGAGATAACTAAGTTTTCAGTCATCTGTGTTTCAGAATCACAGCTTCATACTAACCTTGATGAAGGTGACTCATCAGTTGTCACATGACTCTTTCTCAAAATTGCACATTTCTCTCCTCAATGTGCATTATTTCTGTATTCCAAACTCCCCCAAGTCTATCTGTTAAAGTCGTAATAAAGATGGTGGTCCAATGAAGTGTCACTGCAATACATGTTTACATCCCATCCATTTGGATATGATACCTCACTTGCAGGGAGGACGGGAGGGAAGGAAAGTATTTAATTCCTCCCCCCAGCATCAGATAAGACTAAAAGGAACCCACAGCAATACCAGGAGCACGTCACTATCTTGACGGCTGGATGCAGCCATGACAGAGAGAAAAGGG